CATGTTGGTCAGTATATTGTGGCTTGGTCCAACTTGGTTGATTCCAACCATCCCTAATGCGCGTTAATATGACGAAAGAGGTAACATCGTTACAGAAAGGAGTTTTCACAACGCTGAAAATACTTACACAGAAGCTTTGATATTCTCAGAGCACGAACCTTTGAAAATTGAAGACCAGGATAATGACGCAAAAAATGACGGCTCATTTGTTTTGTCGAGATCTAGGCAGGAAGCGCTTTTACATTATGTAAATACTGCCTTTTTGTCATCCTGCGTAGAAATCGATTCATGGACCAATTATATTTCAATTCGTTTTCGATGCTTCGAGAAAGACTCATTTCCCTCCATTCACGAAATATGTTTTTTGCCTTATATGCTAATCAGCTATCTGAAATGAACTCAGAAGTTCTGTAACGGCCTGAAACAAATAATTTGCGCAGTCATCAATCTAAATCTTCGAGATGTCATTCTCAAAGTGCATAAAATAGGGAAAATGAATCTTACTAAAGAAGGTGATTCAGCAAGCGCTAAATAAGGGAATCGCGCTCCTCCACAACATTTTATGTATGATTGATCAATCAGTAACAGTAAGGCTGATTAAAGCTGAAGACTTGGGATATTAACAAGGCAGCAAAAACTAAATATTCTGACAGGATAATTTTCATCTAGTTAAAAGGAAGGGTGTATTAAATTATTATACGAGTCAATATAAGAAAGACGATGGAAACAGAATTATGGCAATTGTAAGATCACATCGGCAAAGAAAATAAAAAAAGAATGACAGAAATAATTGGCAAATTCATAGTGATGCCAGATTTGATTGAGCTGGAAGATAAAACTGACTTAGATTGACGAAACCCTTAATAGGGCAAGAGATTTGAGACACGAAACCCGTAATAGGCAGCAGTATTGTTCGTATGCTGGTAATCTCATTGATAAACAGCACAAAACTATTTTATTGTGCACAACGCAATATTTTGGTCTATTGAGTGATAGACTGATACAACTTTTCGGTCAGAGCAAACCGGTATCGTAAGCGAAAGAAATTGACTGGACACACGAGTCAAGCAGGTAGTAATGATGGAGTTTAGCGGCTATGTTGTCTGTGATGAAAGACACGAACTCTTTGTGGATTGAATTAACTTCGTCGCACCTGTCACTGAAAAACTATAGCCCAAACTATAGAATCTATGGTTCTGGTTGGAAACGACTGCGCTGCTATAGTCAACTTCAACAGCAGCTGATCACCTCAGAAACTCTCATTACAAAGATGCAATGACATGGTCATCTAAGGAATTGCGCAATCGCTCTGAGCTCAATTACCAAAACTAAATGCAAGAAAATGAGCAAATTGGTTAGCAGCTGATTTCATTAATTCATTGTTCGTTAGACAATCAAGAGAAATTTTGAGATATTTATTTTGATACCATTTTACACCAAGCCAAAGCTGTGGTCAACAAAGAATTTCCTTCTGACGACATAACAACACTTGTCTTTAGCAAGTCGTTGAACTGTGGAAAAACAGTCTCCTACGACATCTGCAGATAACTTGAAATGTTATATATGGCATAAAAAACTGCGGATCATGAGAAGAATTGTTTGCCTGCTATAAAACTTTTTCTGTTTAGTTTGAAAAAAAATGAGATGCTTTCGCTTACAACAGCGTGAAACCGATGTTTATCAGAAGTGGCTAAACGAAAACTCGAGTAAAGGTAGGTTACTATCTTATGGTACTAACGTGTGAACATAGGTTCCTGTTGTCAAAATCAAGAAAACCAAATTAACGATGATCGAAATAGTTCTGAAACCTCTCCACATGTGATATGGAATTATACTCTGAGGACGGTGTACTGCTAACTATAGGAAACGGTTAGATATTAAATGGTACTGAAAGCATGGTTATGTTCCATATATTCGAGTCGCAAATATACTCCTCCATTCAAAGAAAAGGTGGATTATATTAGAAGTAAACCAATGACAAAAATTCCCGTCTTCATCTCATAAGTATTGCGCTGCGCAGTGCTGCTTGATGGCTATCCTTATAAAACAGACAAAACTGCGTTCAGCGATGATCAACAACGCCAATATTAAACCCTGACCTGAAAAATGTTTGCGGCCAGCAGAGCGATATATTGGCTGAACGTCTGCCAGCCTGATAAACTTTTGATGTTGCGTTGTGATGAGTAAAACGTACTTTAACAAAATGAGGACCAACGTATAGAAACGTATCAGTTGCTACTTATTACGCGTCAACCTTAGGAACATGATCTCTTCCTTGAACCCACTTTGACGTTCTGTTGCCGTGACTTTCGTCTATGTTGGTTTGCAGCAGCCGTCGTTAAATTTATATTAAAATAACTGTAAAAGCAAGGTAAGCTGAGATTACTGCTGACGTTTCGTCTAAGAATTCGAAGGCGCACACCGACTGTCGTATGAGAGTGAAGTGCTAACTTCTGCCGAAAAGAAAACGTCGTAGTAATGCTGCGTTTAGCGATCGAATATTTTGTACCTTGCATCTA